TGTCCTTGGTGTTGGAAGTCTAACATGGGCGCCGTCTCCCAAGGGAGAGGGTCCCTGAAAAGAGGACCCTGAAGGCAACACCAGCACCTAGAAGGTGAGCAGGGGAAGAGAGCCAGACTCCAGTCTATCCCCCTCCACACTGAGGTTTTCCTCAAAGCCTCACCCAAGGGATACTCTGCATGGAGCTCCACCGATGCTCCCTCCCCCGTGGGAATGGGCCGTCCCTCCATGTGTTTAATAGCGTCAGAGCCTTGACCACCAGCACAGCCCCGCTCCCACAGCCCGTGACTCGATGAATACTGAGTGAGGGGCTAGGCTCGAGGAAGGAGGGTTGAGCTGTGCGGCCCTTTGAGTTCCCAACACCTAGCATTGTGCCAGCACGCAGTAGGTTCCAATAAAGTAACTCTTAAGGCCATCTGATTCTCTTTTTTAAAAAAAATGATACAAAGAAGAAAGCAACAAACCACCCCAAATCTAGACACCTAGAATTAAGCAGGATTGGCATTTGGTGAACTTCATTCTGGGTTTCTCTTTATGTGTATATTCAGAGAAAAGACTAGATGGATGGGTGGATGAATGGATGGTGAGAAAGGTAGACGAAGCAATTTTATAAAAATATGTTCATACTATAGTTGCTGTTTCAAAATGGAAAACATGAAATTTAATCTTATTAGAACCTAACTGAAGAGAAACACACAGAAGTGAAATGGAAGAATACCTAGACTTTACATAAATGTGAACTCATTTTACATATTTAGATATTAGTTCCTAAAAGAACCCTCTGAAGATCTAGAGAGGGAGAGAGAGAGGATAAAAACCATTGAAGAGTTAGAGTCATTATATGTGGGGTTTTTTAAAAATAAATGTTTCAATTTTAAATGTCATGGGTTGACTCTGCTTTAGAAATTCTTAGTAAGTGACTCCCATCTCCCCTCCGCCCGCTCCTCAATTTTTGTTGCTTAAATTATTTTTACTTGGACAGGTTTTATAACATTTACATTCTATTCTCCAACCAGCCTTCACCTAGTTGCTATTCCTAGTTCTGCCCTTAAGTAGATTTGAACCTAACCACCAGTCATTCCAACAGAGTTTCTACGTTACTGAGTATTTTTTTCTGTTGACTCCTCCCAGTTGGCAGGATTTTGTCACTGAAAAGCCTATGGGTTCTTTATTTCCAGAGTTCTTTCATGCCAAAAAGGACCAGCAGCTGCCTTTATACTGAATGACCAGTTTTTTTGGCTTTTTTAAAGAGAATTCTTTCTTTTTCCTCCCCAAAGCCCCAGTACATAGTTGTAATTCTAGTTGGAAGTACTTCTGGTTCTTCTATGTGAGCTCTGCCACAGCATGGCTACTGACGGATGGTGTGGTTCAGTGCCAAGGAATCGAACCCGGGCTGCTGAAGCAGACTGCCCCGAACTTAAACCACTAGGCCGTCAGGGCTGGCTCTCATTGGCCAGTTTGCTATTGTTGGGTCATGCTCTTTTCCCTACAGAATCTCGTCGACAAGCTTTCTTTAGTTTTCATTCTGTCACCGTGTTATCTTTTTGTTGGAGTTTGGCAGCACCTGATGACCAGCACCACTTTCATTCCCTACGTTCTGAACCACTTGAGAAGTCAGATAAAAGAGTGAAGGCTGATATAGGAGAGCGGGGCTGACGCTGAACTGCAGGATGAGATGGCAGGGCTGGAGGGGGCAGGCTTTCTTCCTGAAGGACAGCGTGTGTCCACCCAAAACAGGGCATGGAGGAGCAGTGTGGGCTTCCTCGCTTCCAAGGAAAAGGGGGAGGGAGTGGTGGGCTTCAGCAAGCCCCATTTTTTCCCTTCAACACACCAGGCAGATGTTCCTCCACCTCCAACGTGGAAGGGCGGGTGGGAGATGGAGACACTTCCGCGGGGAGCTCCCTCCACAAGGAAGGACTCACTGGCGTGAAGGAAGGAGCATCTGCCTACCGCTTGTCTTTGACTTCTTGATCATTGAGTTATGTTTTGATTGGTTTTCAGACATAACACAAAGAACTCTCAGGAGCTCTGCTTCTACTTGTCAGGTTGTGTTTCTTCCAAATCAGTTTCTTCATCAGTGTGAGTGTTACAGAGAGGTGGTGTGAGCCAAGGACATTGGATTTGGCAATTGGATGATCTTAGGTGACGTTAATGAAAAAGTACAGGTTCACATTTAAGTGGTGGGTCAGAGGTCAGACTGAGGGAGGTCAAGGCAAGAATAGGAGAGGAAGAAATAAAAGCAGAAGGTAGAGTGTTCCTTAGAGATGTGATGTGGCCACCAGCAAGGAACACAGGAGGGGCCAGCAGAAGGGCAGAGGCAGGTGGGAGAGGGTTAGGACCCCCAGGGTCATGGGATAAATGGCAGAGAGAAGCCAAGGGACAAGAGAGAGGAGGCTGGAGGAAGGTTGGAGTCCAGTGGAGGGTTTCCCCTCCTCGGCCTGCTCGGGCCTGGGCAACCTCCAATGCTGCAGGATTCCTGGAAGGTGGAGCTGCTGAGGGGGGTAGGACAGGAGCCAGGAAGGACTATATTTTGCCTACATTGGGAAACAATTGGAAGGCCTATCAGTCATCCCCATGCTGAATTTTCTTGCCTTTCACCTGAAGATTAAAGAAGGAAATCACGCACGGCCATCTAATTCTAGTCCAACACCCATTCTATGGGGAGGACATTGAGGCCTGAAGCAGCCCTCAGAGCTAATTACTGAAGCACTGACTTCAAAGACCTCAGTGTTCTTTAGCCTCCCATGGAGGACAAGCTCCTAAAATGGAGAAGCCCACGGGTTGCAATGACCTGGCAGGCTCCCTGGCTTCATGGAGCTTCGATGTGTGGTAAGGGAACTCAGCTGAGGGCAAGAATCACGGTGGGTGGTCTCAGGAGATGTATTGGCGATCCTGGGAGCATGGCCACTGGTCTTTGGGGGTTTGTGTGTGTAGGTCCAACCGTAAGCGTCACTGGTACTGTAAGCACGTCAGCCACTCATCTTCTCGTTTGTTCGATAAACATTTCCTACCTACCTACCATGTGCCAGACCCAGTACTGAGAACAGCGGGCCCAAAGATAAGTAAAACGTGATCCAGTTCTGTCCTCAAGAAACTCCCAGTCTAGCAGAGGAGGCAAAGATGGAAGCGGACAATAGCACCGAGTGAGATATGGCTGGTGGAAGGGTTTTGGGGTGCAATGGGAACAGAGTGCGGGACACATCCGGCCTTAGAAGAGGTGGTGAGGAAGGCTTCTTCAAAGAAGTGATATTTAGGCAAGTCTGAAAGGACCAGTTAGTGCTGGGAGGCAAGGAGCAGAGGTGGTAGAGGACAGACCTGGCATTCCCGCTGACAGGAGGCACAGGGCAAGAACCCAGAGGAGAAGGAGAGGAAGAAAGCGGGGAGGGAGGAGAAAGAGCAGTCACAGTAGAGAACTGCAAATGGCTCTTCACGCCCAGGGTGTAGGGTTGATGGTGGGGCTGGAGAGGGAGGCAGGGGTCAGATCACAGATGGCCCTGAAGGCCGTGCTGAGGATTTGACTTGAGAAAGTTCCATCTGGTTGAAGTACGGAAAGTGGGTTGGAGGTGCCGTGCAGTTAGGAGAACAGAGAGGCTGCTGCTGCCATGGTCCAGGCTGCAGGTGACGTGGCTAGAGCTCAGCTGGTGGAGATGGAGCTGCAGGGCGCGGTGACTGCATGGATGTGAGGGGTGAAGCTGAGGGAGATGGATGACCACGATTCTGACTTGGACATCTGGGGAGTGGCCTTCATTGAGATGGACTAGACTGCTGGGGATGGAGAGGGTGGGAGACAATGCCCGGGGGACATCCATGGGCGATGTCTAGTGTGCAACTTTTTACGGGAGTCTGAAGCTGGAGGGAACTTCTGGGCTGGAGATGCAGACCAGGGGTCATCTGCACACAGGTAAAGGTTAAGGCCATGGCCTGGATGCCATCACCTAGGAAGACTGTGTGGGCCCAGGACAGACCCCAAAGGAAATGGGCAGAAGAGGAGCGTCATGAGAAGGAGCCTGAGAAGGAATGAGATGTAGGTGAAAATCAACAGAAATGAGAGAACAGTGTGATAAATACTAAGAGCTGTGTTTCGAGAAGAGAGGGCAACAATGCCCAGTGCTGCAGGAAGGCCACTGATGACCTCATCAAAAGCGATTTCAGTGGCATCATGGGGGCAGGGCTGGGTGTCAGAGGGTGAGGAGCGACGGGGAAGCCCTCAGGCAGGCGTGCTGACCGGAAAAGCTTTGATCTTTGTTGTGGGCCCAGAGTCTGACGCTTACCCTCTCTGATGTCCATGACTCTCCTCTCACTTTGCCAAGACAAGTCTGGCTCTCTGTGTGAGCCTCACTTAACCAGGGTTCTTGAGTGCACTGTGTCTGCTTGTCCTATGTCCCCAGGAGTCTCTGCTCGCCAGTCTCCTGTCCCTCTCACTGGCCTTCTTGGTCGCAGAGGGTCCTTTTAAAGCTCTCGGAGCTCCTGAAGCCTGGTGGAGCTCTGCAGGCCGGCTGAGTGGCGTCTTGTGAGGTCGTCATCATTCTAGGAGTGACGCTGCAGCATCTGAACCCAGGCCTCGGCCATAATACATCCGACACTCGTCACATTTCAATGCTGGGCCCCCACCAACTTCTTCTCATATTCTCTCTGCCCTTTAATGAGATAACTGCAGAATGTCAGAGCTGGAGGCCCCTGCATCGTCTGGCTGATCCCTGAGTAAACAGAGGGCCATCGAGGGAGAGTGGTTTGCCTGTAGCCTTGCTGAGGGGTCAGGACTGGAACCCAGGTGTTCTGGCCCCTGTGTAAGCCTCTGGTCTGCAGAGATGACCATCCTAGAGGTTCGGGGAAGGAAGAGGCCCAGAGTCTCCTTGACTTGTCCTTCCTCAGAGACCCGAGGTGGGCAGTGCACCTTAGGAAGCCTCTCGAGGCCCAGAGGAGGCGAGTGGGGCCCACCAACTTCACCCCCAGTGAGCCCTTCACTGATCTCTCCCTCCCTTGCCCCACTGCTATCACAGGTACCAAGGCCATGTTCCCAGTGTGGCCTTCTCCCTCGGCTCCCCCTATAGCGCCACCACCCTCAAGTACTTCCAGGACCACCGCAACGCAGCCCTGGAGAAGAGCTACACTCCCTTCAGCAAAGGCGGTCACTTTCCGACCATCTTCTCCCCAAACCCCAGCTTCGTGCTGAGTAACTGCTCCCACACCCGGGACCACTGGCTGCGCGCCCCCAGCTACACCCGCTTCAACCTGGACAGTGACCGCTCCTCTGAACTCAAGTGGTTCTACCAGGTGGGCTGCCCCAGGCTGGCTGCCGCCGTCCCTCCCTGCCTGCACCCCACCCCCCTTCCCTCTGTCCAGTAGCCTCCTGGCCCTGTGGATCCTCGCTTACCTCCTACCTGAGAAAAAGGCCCAAGGTTCACCCATAGGATGAATCACACGTGTGCAAAGGGCCCACGAGGCATCCTCCCAGCTCCAGGCCCAAGTCCACTCTCAGCTGTACTTGCCCACCTGGACCTGGGGCCCACCTGACACCTCCCTGCTCCATGGGCCCTCTGAGGACGTGCCAAGTCAACCCCAGCCCCAGCCTGGAGCCTAACTGCCCTCAGGGGGAGAGAGGCAGATGGAGGGGACCTGCCCACACCCTGTTGTTCTTGTCCTGCTCCTCTGGCTCTTAAAGCCCCCATGGATCTGGTTCGGAAACCTCCCAGTGGGCCCCACAGGCGCTCACTCACCTTAGCGGGGGCCCGAGCTCTTTCTCTGCTGCGTTCCTGGAAATCTCACTCTCTCCCTCACTTCTCTTACCAACATCCCTCCCAGCCTGATTTCAAGGACACAGGTGCCTCCTGGTCCTCAGGGTGGAGAACTGTATGAAAAGGCAGGCTCCCCTGGGAAAGGACCAGATTGATGCTGTCAGACTCCAAGGGGCTTTGGGGCAGTGTCAGTGGGCCTGGGAAGGCCTTTGCCCTCCACCTTGGCTCTACCCAGAGCATGCCCTGTCCAGGAGGGAGGCAAAGGGAGAAACAAACCCATGTGGAGCTTACCTGGGCCACCTGCTAAGCTGGGCTGCACATCCCTCACCTCTGCTGGTCTCTGGTCTTATTTACTCTCCATAGAAAAGCTAGTGTGGTGCTTGTCAGTATCCCCATGAGACAGACAAGGAGCTGAGGTTCTGAGAGGACACCTGACTAGGGACTCCTCCAGGGGCATTAGGGGAGACGGCCCCCACCCCCAGCCCAGGTACAGCCAGGCAGGAACTGCAGGTGCCTGAGGTCACTCCTGCACCCTGAGAACTTGTCATCTCTTCCTTGGTGGAGCTGTAGATGGCGCAGCAGCATCGGAAGTACTATCGAGACAAGACAGGCATGGTACCCCGGGTCCCCTACTTCGTGCTGCCTGTGAGGGAGTGGGAACGGTACCCCCTCCCCACCGACCTGTGAGTGCCTGCCCTCCCTTCATCCACACATTCAGCAAACACACGAACATGGGGCACCTGCTCTCAACCAGGCAGACAGACATTTGGACTGAGAAATGAGTTGCCAGAGTTATAGAGCAAGGGCGTCAGGGCCTCAGGAGGGATGCCGGGAACCTGAGCGAGGGTGGAATCTGGAAGAGCATTTTCCTAGCCAGATGCACTGGGAGTTTGGGAGCAAAACCCACAATCTTTATTGGCCTGAATCTGCAGACTTCCCCTGCAATGGCAGCCTTGCAGCTGCATGCATCTAAACGTGAGCATGACCACTTCCAGCAGCGGGGAGCTGCTGCCCTCTGGTGGTCCTGGAGGGCACTACACAAAGCCGGGAATCGGCCCTCCCAGCCCAGTGCAGACTGGGAAAGTGTTCTCCTAGGGACTTAAAAATATCTTTCAAAGTCCAACTGTCCATCTAACAAAATATGACAGTTCCTCCCTGCCTGCCCCTTGCTGCTTTTATCCAGGAGAGCTTCTTTTCCCAGGGAAGGCCAGCTCTGCCCTGTGAGATAATCCGGGCATGCAGTTTCCTTGCTCTCCCTCCTGGCGTCCAGGCCGGGAGATCAGAAGTCTGTATTGCCAAGGTGTCTGTGGGGGTGTCAGGAGGTCAGTGAACAGGTCTTGGGTGTCCAACTCCATGCTGACCCATTGCTTGCCTCCAGAGTCCTGAGCCTTGCCATCATCATTATTGATAAAGCAGCAACCCTTTCCACAGAGTTTAATGGTTTTTAAAGAAACGGGTTTAACTGCCTCTATAGGCTCCTCTCTGTGAGACAGACGAGCCCGTTTTATAATCTGGGAAACTGAGGCTCAGCGATGGCCTCAGGAACTTGTGCTGGGTGGCAAGTCTGGTTGGAGTAGAACCTGGAGGGAACCAAAGTCTCCCAACCCCAGCTCCGGGACTCTGGGCTGGCCATCTCCACCCCTTGGGCTGGCTCAGAGCCATTCTGTCCTTGAAGACAGTGTGAGGCCTCTCTGGGGACAGGTCTCCTCTTGAGACTGCTCCAGGCAGCATCTGCGTCTCCCACAGCTGCAGGGTGCCCAGGACACCCCACCTCCGTTCTTCTTCCAAACCGCCCGGCAGCCTGCACTGCAGCTGATGGCTTCATGCCCAGCACAAAGGGCCAACAGTTGATTGGGAGTAAGATGGTCAGTGCCTGCACTCAGCCATTCCCCTGATCACTTCTGTGGCCTGAGGCAAGTCCCTGCTGTTCCCTGAGCTCCAGTGACATCATCACCATCAGCATCATCACCATCTTCACGATCACTATCACTGTCATCAGCATCACCACCATCGCCATTTCTTATCACATTTGTTGAGTGTTTGCCCCTTATCCAGCATTATATTAAGAGCTTTATATGCATGGCCTCATTTACTCCTCAAAACAAAGCTAAGAGGGAGGTCCACATTAGTCCATTTTACACGGGAGCTTGGCCAGAGTCCATCCCAGGTCTGTCTGACACCCGCGTCCTCACTCTGAGCCACTGTCCTGTGGTGCAAATAGAAGTCATTCTGATCTCAAATGCAGGGTGACTTATCAGATGTTGGGCTGCTGGGCAGCTAGCAGGGTCAGTGTCCACACAGGCAGGGGAACGGGCCTGTGGAGCTGAGGTGGTGGTTTTTCGCCCTCCCGCCCCGGCACACTGCCTAACAATGGCTCCATCCTCACCCCCAGGCCTCCTCTGACCCCGAAGAAGAAGTGGCACCTTTTAAGAGTCTCCCCTGACAACCTGAAGACCTACCAGACGTTCCCATCCGGGAAGAGGGTCTCCCCACAGGAGCGGCAGAAGAGAGACTGCTACTTTGAGTTCAGAGCGTGATGCCAGGGAGCCACTGGGCCTGACCGGGTTGGCTTTTGGAATAAAATCTTTAGCCATGACCATCCCCCATTCCTCTGCTCTGAGCCCCAGGAGTATTTGGCACAGCAGGACAGCTCTTGAGGGTCACAGAGCACTGTGTCTTAAGAGCTGTGGAAAGCTCAGTGCAAAGGGTTCAATGCAGGAAAAAGCATGCCCAGTGACCTCCAAGGGGGAGGCGGGTAGAACCGAGGACTGAGTCTTGGTGGCAGGTTGCTCATGTACAGAGGTACTTCCCATCTGCTCCCACTGGTCCCATTCTCATTCTGAGAATGAGGATGAAGTCACCCCAGAACAACTGCACTGGGTGTCAGATGCAAAGGAATTCCTGTGTGAGGCCTGCCCCAGCATCATTTTGTCGACACGGTGACCTGTGAGGGAGGTGGCGTTATCCCCACTTTACTGATAAAGACACTGAGGCTCAGAGAGGTTGAGAAAGTTGCCCAAGTTCACGTAGCTTAAGTGACACAGCCAGGATTTGAGTCCAGGTCTTTCTGACTCTCAAGCCCTTTTCACTACACATCCTGCTTGTGGTCCACGTGGAGGCGGAGGGGCAGGGATGACGCAGCCCTTGGATTCCAGAGGACGCTGTAGAGCTTGAGAGAAGAAACTCTGTAAAGCAGCCGTGTTCTGCATTCTGCCCAGACTGGCATGGACAGGCTGATTTGGCATCTACCCCCGGGACTGTTTCTAGAAGGGGACGGGAGAGAGTGACCTAGAACTAAGCCACTCTTCAAGGAACCTCTGTTTCAGGAGCCTCTAGGCCAGAAGTGGACCCCGCGAAAGGGTTCCCAGGTCACAGGCCTGAGGTGGCCTGAGAGGTCCAGGGTCTGGAGGGTCTGCTCTCACCAGGCTGCTGCTTCCTATCTCATGGGAGGCCACCTGCCTGCAGGGGACAGGCTGTGGGTGACAGCCCCTCAGTATACAGGAACTGCGATGGGGACCTCAGGCCAGGTGTGTATCCACACCACACCACAGGAGTTCTCCAACATTCCAGCACCTCCTGGATTTGATCAAGGGACTCTGTCAATCAACAGGGCCTTTATTCCCCCCCAATGGGTGAGTCTGGACCTAAAGGCAAGGCGACTACTGTAGGTTCAAGTACACGAGAGGGTGAAACAGCCCTTCCCTTGGGAGCCAGTGTTTAGACACCTCCCCCGAGGACAGTGTAAACAAGAAAAACCGTGTGCCCCTCAGATAGGCATCTGACAGCTCTCAGAGACCCCTGTAAGGGGCTGTTCCTGTGTCCCAGAGTCCCTGAGCAGCTGGGCCCTAAACGGTCCCTGTGGTGGCCAAATTCATTCCAGGACTTGGCTGAATGGCAAAGCAAATAAACTGATTGCTGTTCACACGCTGTTGCATCCCAAGGGCCCACGGGTGTCAAGTGGGGCCAAGATGTCCTCTCCCTCAATGAGGACTGGGAAGCCGGGCGCCAACTGGAATGACTACTACATGCACATCTCTGTACAGCCTGCACCGGGAGATGCAAGGAGAGATGCTGGGGTGGGGGGCGCTCCAGCAAAGGGAGGGAAGGATGCGTATTTTCTTGGCGAACTGCATCCCATTTGGCCTGGTCCCTGCTGTGACATGGGGTTGGATTTGAACCCTGCCCTCAAAAAAACTGGCCACCCCAGCTTGCTGAGTGTCATCAGCAAACCTAAGCCCTGGAGTGAGCAGTTGTTAATAAAAAGTACTTCTCTGTGACCCTGCATTCAAAAAATGATGGACTGATGGGGTAAGGAAAAGGCTTTTCTTTTGTTTTATTGAATAAATGATATTCTAGAAGTGAGGGAAGGGCAGGGACAAAGTCATACTTCTACTCAGAGTCCCCCAGCACCTGGATGGGGTTGAATTCCAAGTTCCAGTGGTCCCCTTCAGGGCCGCCAGATCAGGTATTTGTGGCCTCATCAGCATCCCCAGAAGTGAATCCGAAAGGAGCTGAAAGAAAGAATTCCCTGAGCCACCTCGAGCCTGCAGTGCTGACATGCCCTCTGACTTTTGGGTTCACAGTAGTCCTAGAGACACCTTTGCCCACCTCTCATGTCCCTTTCTCCACGTGGTGGCCAGTTTGCAGATCTCCCAAGCCAACCCAAAGCCTTCTTTAAGCTGCTTTTAGCATCACTAGAATGCAAAGGGTGTCAGAACATTGTCGTGCTGGAACCAATAGAAAGAAATCAGAGAGATTCAAAGAAAAACTCAAGGAGGACAGGATTCCAGCCTCAGCTCTGTGCTGGGCTGTTAAGGAAGAAGAGGAATTACCCTTGGTTGGGGTGGTCCCAGGTGTGGACTCTCTTTTAGAGAGCCTGCCCAAGCCAGAGCCCCGTGGCAGCCATGTTGGAATGGAGAGTCCTCTCTCTCCTTCAGCCAGGTGGTTGGAAGAGGGGTGGACACCTGACCTGAGCAGGGCCAATCAGATTGTCTCTCCGGAAATTTGGAGTCTGAGTTCAGAGACATTACTTAGGAGTCACTGAGGGTCATTTGGAGCCAGGGAGATATGAACTTTACTGCTGTGGGGAGGCCGTGTGTGGCATCATGTCTGACAAAGCAGAGATGCTGGTTTGCACATAGAGTGAAGTGTAGAGTTGCCGAGGAGAGGGGCAGAGACTCTGCACGGAGAAAAGCGAAAATCACCATCCTGGGTGCCTGACGGGGTGCTCTCTGAGCTCTAGCTGTCTTTGTTCTTTTTTGATTGGCTTGTTAAACCATTTGAGTGGGCATCCTTTGCTGTCAAAATCACCTAGACTATGAGACCAAGAGCAGAAGAGGGCCCAGGAGTAGCAGACACACGCACACGGGTGCCAGCTCATCACAGGAAGGGTGCTCTCGCGGGGCTGTTCCATCACGAAATGGGCTGCCTCTCGGGGTGCTGTGTTTCCCAGAACTGGAAGGTTCCAAACAAGACTGTGAAACATGGCCAGGAAAATATGGAGATGGCCAATCATCTCATAGGCCAGATGAGACCGTTAAGGCCCCTTTCTGCCTTCAACAAGGTCTGGAAAGGCTTGAGTTCTTCTCTGAGCTCCACCACCAGCATCTCCACACCCCCATGCAAATTCCCACCTCCTAGTGACCGCTGGAGGGTGTCGGGGGCAGGGGAGCAGGCCTGGCAGTGGCAAAGGCGGCTCCCAAGGTCAGTCCTGGAGCCCGGGGGGCTTTGGGAGAAGCTGCAGGGATGGCGGCTGTGGAGGGGCAGCACCGGAAGTTTGCATCACCCACGTCATTGCAGATCTGGAACGCGATCCTCCCCCTTGCCTTTTAACACCCGCTCCCTGCCTCTTTCTAGGTTACCTAATTTCTCAAGAGCTCCAGTTTTGCTGATTCTGAAAGAATTTGCAAAGTGCCCTGAAAACTCATGACCTCCTTGGGAAGGCTGCCCCCTTGGCAGAGGGGAGGCTAGGGGGGCCCTTCCCGCCCCCCACTGTGCTGGGCATCCCCCACTCCAGAACGCCTTACTTCATGAAGTCTGGAGACTTGGCCATTGCGTGTTCAAACTCTGAGAAAGACAGCATGTTGTCATTGTCCAGATCCGACTCACTCAGGACCTGGCCAGGGGTGCGGAAAGAGCCAGAGAGGAACCGGTATGAGAAAGTGAGATGGGAGCGGAGGGCTCCGGGAGAAGTGCCGCAGGCCCAGTGCTACCACAGGTCAGGCTCCCTGCCAGGTGCTCAACACACATCCCAGAGCCCCCCTGCCCCTTGTGAGGCAGGCACTCTCCTCCTCCACCTGCTATCCCCTCACCCCATGCGAGGACACGGAAGTGCAGAGAGATGAGGTTATGTACACTGAGGTCTGGGACCTGGTGGGCTCGTCTCGTCATGGGAAGAGTCCTCTTAGTGCCTCCAGCACAAACTTGGCAGTGAGAATGGGTGGGAGGGTGAACAGGGTGACATCTTGCACTGCTGTCACTCAGGCACAGGCTGGGGCTCTGTGCTGCAAGAGGTGCACTCAGCTTGGGGAGGCAGCGATGACCCCTCAGGTTTTATCTTTGCTTCTGGTTCCAGTCCAGCCCAAAACACTTAAAGGTTCTCACGGTCTCAGGACAAATGGATCCGTGCCCTGTCTTGCGTTCGTAAGGCTGACTTCATGTCCTGCCACGCTTTGGACTGTCACTCTGGGGCATCTGGGCACTGTGTTGTGCTGAGATGACGTGGGGAAGGGAACGTTGTGATGTGTCCCTCTGATGCTAAGATGCTGTTGGGGCCCCTGCCTGCAGTGACTGCAGTGTTGGTGGGAGGGCAGCTGGGAGTGGGTGGCTCTGTCACAATGCTCTGGGGACCCTGGAAGGGAGTCATGATCCTGGAGGAAGGACAGAAAATTGGGGGGTCGCCTCCAGCCATGTGCCCCTCCCTCAAGGCACTTCACCCTGCCTGCCGTCCAGGGGCTTTGGGTGATGGCCTGCCCACCCCACCCGCAGCCCCACAGCCCCAGGTACACACGTGGCTCGTGAGGTCGGTCAGCAGGTCCTCCGACATGTCGTCACTGTTGAGCAGTCGGAGGATGATCTCCTGTAGGTCCTCCTCGTCGATGAAGCCATTCTCATTAAAATCTGCAAAGAGGAGGCAGGGCCTGAGAGGAAGCGGGCTCTCTTGGCCTCCAAGAGTCCCGGGGGCCACGGCACCAGCCAGGACCCCACAGACTCCCACCAGCCTCTGGGGTGCCCCGCAGAACCTAGTGGGCCCAGGTAGGCCTAGAACCTAGGACTCCGTGAGACCTGGGCAGGCCAAAGGGATGAGGCCCTGCAGTAGCTGGGCAGGCCACAGAAGAAGGTGGTTAATAACCCAAAGTAATAATAATAATAATAAGCATTGATTGGGTACTACCTGCTCAGATTTGTCCTGAGAACTTCACCTGTTTTAGGTCACTGAATCTTCACAATTCTCCTTTTGTAAGTCTCACTTTACCAAAGGGAAACAGGCACAGAGGTGTTATATGATTTGTGTACACTACCAACGAGTGGAAGGCTGGAGATTCAGACCTGGCTGGCTGGGCCCCGAGTCCAACAGCACCCACCACGCTGTGGAAATCCCAGTCTCAGACCTCACGAGCCACGTGTCTTTTGGTGGCTGGAAGCTGGGCAGCATCGGGGAGCAGGAGGAGGCCTGGCTTTCGAGCCAGAGGACCTGGGCACACGTGCCTGCTCCTGTCACTCTGCATCAGGCGCAGAGATGTATCGGGCTGGTTCCTGCCCACAAGGAGCTCCCAGGCTGGGGGTGCAGGGGAGACTGTCGGGCCCTTGAGCAGCTTGGCTCCAGGAAGAGAGAAACAGGCATGCCTAGGACTCTGAGGGTTTCCGGATGTGCTTGTTCATCTCTGGATGGGGCTGGGGGTGTGAATGAGGAAGACTCTGGGAGGACAAGGCATCAAAGAAGGACTAAAAGGCTTGGGTCTTCAGAGATGGCAACTGGAGGAGGTGCCAGAGTCAATAGGGACAGTGGCAGAAAAAGAACAGCACTGGGGTGATCAGTCTGGTGTGAGGGGAACAGAGGCTTGGGAGAAGGTCAGAGGTTAAGTCTGGGAGGTGGGTGGAGCTTCGAAGGGCCTTGAATGCCACGATGAGACGGTTGTACCGACATTCTTGGCAGCCCTCCCCTAGGACACCCAGCACAGTCCCTGCACCACTCATCAGCCATGTAGTAAATGCAATAAATTAGTCAAGTATAGTCATTATCACCATGGCAGACACAGATGTGCCAGGCAATGGTCTGAAGGCTTTATATTCCACTGCCTTAATCCTCATGACAGTTATAGAAACTGAGGCACACAGAGATTAAATAACCACGCTCACTTCCTTAATCTCATTTCAGCCTCTTGCCTTTAAATATCCTCTATACACTGATGAATCCCAAAGTTACATCTCCAGCCTGGGCTCCTCCTGACCTGAGGCGCGTATATTCACCTGCTTCCCGCCCTCTCCGCTTGCAGGTCTGATAGGTCCGTCCAAACCCAAACTCCTGGTAGGCGCCCTCCACCCTGCCCCCAAACCTGCTGCAAATGGGCAACGCCACCCTCAAGTCACTCGGCCAATGATCTCGGAGTCCTCCTTGACTGTCTCCTTCCCTTGTCCCCCACAGCTGAGGGATCAGCAGACCCTCCCAGCTCCAACTTCAAGAGAGAGAAAACCCAGCCGGATGACCTCTCCCCCCTGCACTGCCTCCGCCCTGGTCCAGCCACTGTCGCCTCTCTCTAGGATCCACAGCAGCCTCCCAGCTGGTCTCCCGCCTCTCATTCCACCCCCTTCAGTCTGTTCTCAACAGAGCAGCCAGAGTGAGCCCGTTCATTGTCCTTCATTCCTCCCCCAGCACCTCTCTCACAGGCTCCCATCTCAGCCACAGGAAAGCCCAGGGTCTGCCCTGCCCTCGCTCTGCCTCTCGCCAGTCCTCCATCAGGCGAGGCACACTCCTGCCTCAGGGCCTTTGCACCGGGGTCCCCTCACTGGAACACTCACCCCAGAGATCCTCTGGGTCTTGATTCAAAGGCCAGCTTCTCACCAGGGCGCTACCCAGAACCTGTCGAACATCGTCCTTCCTGCCCCTTTCCCTGCTTGGCCTCTCTCCCAGCACCGATACTGCCTGACACACTGTGTGTGCCGCTCCTTAGCTCGTTTGCTTCCCTCCACTAGAATGCCAATTCCACAAGGGCAGAAGTTCTCGTCTTTTTGGTCACTACTGTATCTCTAGCTGCTAGAACAATGCCTGGAACACAGTAGGCACTCAATGAGTATTTGCTGGCTAAGTGAGCGAATGAACTACCCAAGGTCACACATTGGCAAGTGATGGAGACAAGATTAAACCCAGGCAGTGTGACTCTATGGGCAGTCTGTGCCATTAATCATTCGTAATTTTATTGTAATAAAGTGCCAATTTTTTGCTGGGCAGATGACCATCTAAAATGATCACTACATTTCCCAGCCTCCCTTGCAGCTGGCTGTGGCCACACAACTGAGTTCTGGCCAAAGAGACGCAAGCAGAAGAGGCGCAGGCAACTTCTGGGAATGTCTTTAAAGAGAAGGTGTAGCCCTTTGTGACAATGAGGCGACCTTGGGAATGCAAGATAAAGCGACAAAATAGGAGGAACCTGGGTCCCCAGCGCTGCAGAACCATCATGGACAAGTGGCCCTGGAATTCTCCGTGTTAGAGACAGAGCACGTAGTGGCCAGTGATCTGGGAAGCTATCTTGTGTGAGCCACTTGGGGTTCCCTGTCATTTGCCACTAAATTTAATCCTAAGTAATTCATTATCTGAGCCTCATTTTCCTCATCTGTAAAACGGGTGATAGCAGCACCTCCACAGAGTTGCTGTGAAGGTTGAATAAGAAGATACATGTAAGTCACTTGGCGTGGCGTTGGCATATGGAATGTGTTTATTGGATATAGTAAAGACTCAATTCTGTATCACTTGATGATTATTAACTACTAAAAATGTAAACCTTAGAAACAGTAATATTCTGCCTTGAAGAGTGAGAGCGAGAGCTGGATTGGGCCCAGAGTGGAGGAGTGAGTTTGCGGATGTCACAGGATCCTTCAGTGGTAGAGCCAAGACTTTTGTCTCTGTTCCCAAGGCAGGATATGGATGTGGAGGGTACAACTAACCGCGTCATTCCTTAAGTAGGTGGCTCTCCCCTGGTTGAATGTTTATCAGCCCCAGGGACTGGAGGCTCCGGCCTGACACGTTCACCCAGGCTCTCCCTGCACAGCTCTGCAATTACACGCCATGGGTCACGGGGCGGAGGGACCAGCGCTGGGACTGGAGGCAGTGGGCAGCCACAATGACGTTGCACTGCTGGTTATAAGCTCTGCGGCCTCTCCCAGAGACCCCGCAGTGTCCCCAGGCATCCTGCTGGCCCAGCTTCCATATGCAGAGACTGCAGCAAAGTGACACTACTTTGGTCCCAAGCCATCTGGAAACAGAATAATTTGCTAGAGTAAAATGTAGTTCTGGACTGTTCCCCTCCTTTGGGGGTGCAAGGGCAGAGCAGCCTGGGAAAGGGCTGGGGGCTGGGAGCTCTGGGCCACTGGCCAGCCCATGCGGCCTCAGGGCCTGCATCCTTGGGCCACTCTGGGGAGGGGGAGCCTTCCTCTTGCTGTTTCCCAACAATGGGGGAGATTAGAGAGCTGGTAGAGTCAGAGCTCAGCCCTCACATCCCCCCAAAACACTCTTACCATCATCATCCCAACCTCTCTGTCATGTTACTCCTTGCAATTGACAGCGCAGTACTTTCACAAAAATTAGCCCATTTGATCAAGTGAGGCAGGGCACGCTTTCATTACTGTTCCCGCGAGAGCTGAGGTTGCCTCCCTGCCTCTCCCAGCCACCAGCATCCCTTGTCACTGCATCAGATCTTGGGAACGTGCGGGAAAGTCTGCTGCTGGTGCTCTGGCAGCTGCCCGAGGGTAATTCCTATCTGGTGGAGGCCATGCTGTTGGGAGCAGGCAGGCGGTGCTGGGATGTTGGCCTCTGACAAGTACAAGTCTCCCCGGAGGTGCCGAGAGGAGGATGGATTTGCTGGAGGCCAGGACTATCCCTCAAAGCAGAAACTGGAGCCCAGTAGGCACATCCCAGGTAGGTATATTGGCCTTGCTGGATTCTTCACCAAATCACTTCCCCCTCCCTTCTTACTAACGGAACTACAATTCTTGTTCAGGCTGACACCATGTTTGGTTTAAAATACTCTGCTTTCCAGTCTCCTTGCCTCTATGTGTGGCCATGTGACATAGTTCTGGCCAATGAAGTTATAAACATAGTCATGGCCAAAGGGACTGGGTAGGGCTTCCAAGAAAGTTTGCTAAGGAAGACTAGACAATCTGTGCCTTTGAATGTCCATTTTGCCCTTTTTCCTCCTCCCATCCCTTTTTCTTCCTGCCTGGAATGAAGATGAGATGCCTGCAGGCACAAAAACCACTTTGTGACTCTGAGGACAGCAGTCCCACAGTAAAGATGGCAGATCAGGAGGCTTGAAGGAGCCGGGGCCCTGGGTTACTTCCTGGAGCTGTGCCCCTGGCTCCGGACTGCCTGATCCTAGGCTCCTTTTTTTTTAAACATGGATGCTCTTCCACATAACTGAATGCAATCCTAACTGACATGGTAGGTCAGAGTAGTAGTTCTCAAACTCTGCTGCACTGTGGAATCACCCGGGGAGCTTTTAAAAAGCCAACGAACAGGGCCTACCCAGCACCATCACATCGCATCTCGGCAGCTGGGGCCCAAGGAGCCGTAGGTCTTAAAAAGCCCCCAGGTGATTCCAGTGGGGAGCCACAGCTGAGAACCTGCAGGTTAGAACAGCGCTTCTTAAACTTCCAGGTGCAAGGAACCACGGGGGTCTTGTTACAAGGTAGGTTCTGATTCAGTAGGTGGGCAGTGGGGCCTGAGATTCTGCATTTCTAACAAGCTTCCTGGCTGTGTTGATGCTGCTCATGCGTGGGCCACCCTTGGAGTAACGAGGGTTCAAAGCACTGAGTTAGGTCTTGGGCTTTGGCTAAGAATGATCACCGTGGCCGTTACCGCCACTGTCTTCTCCTTTCCGTCTCCTTCTCCCTTTCTTTCTTTTTATTCCTCCTCTTCTGCCTCCATTGCTGCCACTCCCACCTCAATTTAGTGAGCAGCTACCACATGCCAGGCATCGGGCTTAGAGATTCCCCTGTCCCATCTCTAATCCTGCTGACAGGTCTACGAGGTCACAAGTCTGCTCAGCCCAAAGAGAATTCGGGTTTGTCTGGGTATAACTGATGAGGTCCTGGAGTTGAAGAGTCCCTGGGTGTCTATTTTCACAGCTGATTTGCACGAAGATTTTGTGCTTTTTGTTTTTGTACTTGAGCTCAAGGAGGACGGAAACCACTCGAGGGGCTCGGAAAGGGAGGGTGGAAGAAGATACAAGGACCGTGAGGGACAGGTGGTGTCTGGTCCTGGATCTGGCCTGAGGCGCTCAGTCGGACCTCTTGAGAGTGAGGGCATTCTCCCCACTTCTGAGCTGAATGCAGTTTGGCTCCCATGCCTTGGAGCCTGAAGAGAACCTGCTGCTCTTCCAGCTCCCTGAAGGGTTTGGGTGTTTTTGTTTGTTTAGCTCTGGGAGCCATGGAAAGACGTCTGAGACAGACATCTTTTGGGACATCTGCCCAGGCTACACTTTACCATCTCTGAGAAGCATCCATCCTCCCACCCGCTCCAGTGGTAGGCCTCTGGCGCCATGTTTGTTTACGTGGCTCTGCTTCTTCTTGGCTGTGGTCGATTGGAGAAGGCCGGTCACCTAACCCAGGGGCAGCTAGATCATTGGTTTGTTTGAGCCAATCAGCATCTCCTGGGAAAATGGAAGAGAAACAGATGCTTGTGGCTAGTCAGTCTGAGTGAAGCCCCCAGGCCATGTGGGGGGCCAGGGTAGTCGTCTTTGGCCCATAGGCACAGAAGCATAAAAATCAGATCTGCAGAAAGAGAAGGTAAACGGAGAGAAACAGAGATGAGAGACTAAACAGCCATAGAGAGAAAAGGAGAAAGTAGCTGTCTTGCTTCCTGATCACTTGCCAGCTACATCCTAGGCCCTCAGGAGGCCTGCCTCCATTCTTCCATAGGTTCCACACTGCTTGTGGTGGATAAACTCTAGTGCCCCCCGACCTCTGATGATCTGTCCTTCTTGGTGTTCATGCTTTAATGTGAGTGGGTGGGGACTGCTAACCAACAGAATTTGGCAACAGTGATGGGATATCACTTCTGTGGTTGCAATATGTTGTATCAGATAAGACTCTATCTTTCCAGCATACTGACTCAAGAGACTCTCTCCCTAGCTGTCTTTGAAGAAGCAAGTGACCATGGGTGAGTAGGCCCATGAGGCAAGGAGCACAGGTCAGCCTCTGGAAATTGAGGCCCGCCTCCAGCCAATAGCCAGCAAGAAACCAGGGCTGTAAGTTCTATAGACACAAAGAAATAAATTCTGCCAGCAACTGGAGTGAGCTTAGAAGTGGATTTTTCCCCAGTCAAGCATTCTCCAGGTGAGAATGCAGCCCGGCCAGAATTTTGATTGCAGTCTTGTGAAAACCTAAGAACAGGACCAACTAAACCATGCCTGGACTCTTAACCTACAGAAATTGTGACATTATAAATGTGGGTCATTTGAAGCCACTAAGGTTGTGGTAATTTATTATGCAGCATGGAAAGCTAATGCACTCCTGTTCTTCATCATTTGCCTTCTACACAGTGAGTTCCTGTTACCTGCAACCTAAAGACTCTTGGCTAAGACAGGAGCACCCAGTCTGGGCCTGCATTCTCCATCCAGAAGAGCTGCTCCGTCCAGGAGAGTACTGACAGGAGACAGAAGAGGCTTGAGACAGCGCAGCAAGTGCTCTGTGGCAGAAGGCCTGACGGAATGTAGCAGCGACTAGTGGTCTAGAACTCCTTAGATACATTGGAAACTCCCTGGGGACCCCCAGAAATACTTGGGGGTAAGGAAGGAGGAAGACTAATGCATGGGAGGCAGGGACTACTAAGCCAACTGAATTTGGGTATGTGATTTCATTTGTACTTACTCCTCTTGAATTTCACTGTAAATGTGTTTCCTATAGCAAATTTAGGACATTTGGGGCAATTATTTGTTCAAATACCTTTTCCGTCCCATTCATTCTCTCGTCTCCTCCTGAGATTCCAATTGAATATACATTAGACCTTTCTATTGTCCTACATGTCCCTAAGGCTCTGTTCCTTTTTCTCATCATATATATTTTTTCTCTCTGTTCTTATTTCAGATATTTTGTTTTTCAGTTCTATATTTTCTATTTGATTCCTATAGTTTCTATTTCTTGGCTGAGAATTCCTATCTTTTCATTCATTATGAGCATATTTTCTTTTACATCATTGGATACGGTTATAATAGCTGTTTTAAGATAATTGTCAGTAATTCTAACATCTGGATCATGTCAGAGTCAGCCTCCATTCTCAAGAATGAATCCATTTTTCTGTGTTTTTTTTTTAACTTTGTATATTGAATAATTTTGGCTTGTATCTTAGGCATTATAAATGCTTTATTGTGGAAACTCTGGATGCTGTTATATTCCTCCAAAGAGTGCTGAATTTTTTTATACAAGCAGGCAATTAGTTGGATGTAAACTGCAAACCCTGTCACACAGGGACCTTGTTAAAATGCAGTGGCAGCTCAAATCTCTGTTGAGTTCTTCTATCCTCACTTGAGCTGCTTTGAATCTCCCTTTGTATACATGGTTTAGAGGTCAGAAAGAGACTTGGGCATGGTTCATACACAAAATTTGGGCACCCTTTCTCTGGCTTTCTTTCATGGACTCTACCTTCTTTTCACTTTTCAGGGGAGAAGTGCTCCAAACTCTGATCCTTCAAATCAGAAAGAGTTTGGGGTTTCTATCAGTCCTGCATGATGCTGCTCACTGAAGCCCACCTTCAAACTAAAAAAGAAGGAAAAAAGGAGGCGGAGAGGACCATCCAGTACCATTTCCTTCTTCTAAGTGTCAACTCTCTGCTGCTAGAAGCTTTCTACTGCCATCAGGTAGTTGATTTTTATTTTTTGTTTAGAGTTTATAGTTGCTATCTGTGCAAGTGACAGTATGATAGGAGCTTCTCAGCTATTCTTAGCAGGGGAATCTGTGATTTTATTTGAGTTTACTGGATGCTAAGCCTGAGAACATGTGGGATACAAAAATATCATTAAGTCCTTTTTACAGATGAGAAAACTGAGCCCTCATAGGTCCATCTGGCTTAAAACTCCTCCACTCCATGAGGCAGGAATAAGCTGGTGTCCACTATGTGGCAATAGGGGAGGAGCTGGCAGGAAAGGAAGGCAGGTGAGATGCCAAACTATTCAAGCCTAAGATACAAGTTCTTTGGGGCCAAGAAATTGCCACGATAAGCTTAAAGCCTTGCACATGGTCTGTTCGAAGCCTTCTCAAGATTTCTTTGTTTCTTTCTTTTTGATTCTTTTTGAGAATTCCAGGCATCCCAGCTGTGCTAAGGGGCCATGAGCCTGCAGAAGAGCCATCTTTAGCAGAGTCTTACGGCTACCCCAGCCAAAATCAGAGACCAAAAAATATCATAGGACCTCAGAGATGATCTTTCTCAAACCCTTCATTTTAAGGATGAAGAAACTGAGGCCCAGAAAGGTGAAATGATTTGCCCAAGATTTCTCAGCCATTTAGTAACCGAGCCAGTTTCAGTGGTTGAATCTCTTAACTTATGCAAATCAAGCATAACTCCTTCATATCCATATGTAGTCCTCTCTCTGGCCTGCCCACACCACAACCATGAAGTAGCAACACCAATGACTCCATTTGCTTCTGATGGCATGGAGGGGAGGGCATCAATCTCTTGGAGTAGTAGTTCTCAATCATTTTTTAAAAGTCTACAGTGTTTGAGAAATATGACAATACCCATTAATACCCAAGTGAACCCCAATAACACCACCTCACCAATGCACTGATGTCAATGGATTCCAGATGTGGTATGTACTCTGTGGCACTCGCCCCTCCCCTCCCCGTCCCCCACAGCACCCACCATAGATGCGAAAGGCGTACTCAATCTTCAGGCTGGGGCAAGCCTGCTCACTGAACACAGATGCCATGCCCAGCACATCCTCAAAGGAGAACACACCGTTGTGGGCGAACACTCTGCAGATTCGGTCTCTGAAAGGGTTGACCTGTGGGTGGGGAGGAGGAGGCACGAGTTCTATCACCATCAAGTTCATGCCTCCCTGGCCCTTGCTCATCTTCCCGAAGCACAGTGTCCTGAGTTTGAGAAGAAAATAACAGCAACAGATTAAATATTGGAGTAGATGCTGGGTCAGCGAACCAGGACCCTGGGTGTGATGGAGGGTACCAGGGATGAAGGACTATGTTTAACATCACTCTCCTCACTGTCATCACCTCCTGCATGCACCTTCTAAGGATTCATATTTTGGTCTTACTCTTTTTTATGGTTATTAATTTTCTCCATGTTATGTACAAAATTTGGAAAATACAAAAAAAAAGCATGAAGAATGGGATAAAAATTCTTTGTAATCCAGTCCCCAGAGTCAGCCACTGTCAACATGTTGATGTATAAGTCAGACAGACCCAGGTTTAAGTCCTGGCCTCAGTGTTTACTAGTGAGTAACCTTAGTGCAGACAAATTACATGATCTCCTGAGGCTAAGTTTTCCCACCTACGGGGTTGGGTGGGGTAATACTATATTGGCCTATAGGCTTGTTGTGAGGATTAAACAGCGTAAGTCTAAGAGGGCTCAATGTCTGATAAATAACACTCAACAAGTGGTAGCTGTTAGTTGTTTATAACTACTACAGATAGTATAATTTGCACAGAAATTTTCATTTTTAAACCAGACTATTTCTCAAATTCGAGTGCCAAGCGAGTAAGGTGATTTTAGGAAGCTTGGCTCCCCTAAACTGGGCCTGGCCAGGGGAACACATGAGAGGGCGCTTCCGATGTCAGTGCCACCTGGTTCTGAGCAAACACCCCAGTCGTTTCTCACCAGTTCAGAGGCAGCCCGCTAAGGCCACCTCGCTGCTCTCCCTCGGGCCCCAGGAATGGGCAGGCTGGGTGGGCTGTGGGGTGGAGCGGTGGGCAGACCTAATGAGAGTTAAAGGCACAGAGCAGGCCTGGAAATCTTTGAAAGTAGCGAGTTTGTCTTTGCAACCTCCTCCTCCCACTTTCTGTGCCCCTAATCCATTCCCACCTGCCAGGACTCCTTCCCCCAGTTGTGCAGGGGCCCAGCACTGGCCTGTTCCAAACCACCCGCCTCCTGGCAGGCCTCGTTGGATCCCGATTTTGCTCTAGTGATCCACAATGACCCCCGATCCCTCCCTCCCCACCGACGAACATTCCTTTCCCTTGGCTGCACCTCAGCTAAGAAAGCTGTTGGATTCTGTGAACTCACAGGGCAGATCAGAGTGGCCAGTAGTTCCTCAATCTTTCAAATTTTTAATTAGTTGAAGCAAATCCCTGGTTGATTTTTCTAGTCCCCTTTCACTGACACGGTATCTCCTCAAGGCTCCAGGCTTCACGCCAAAGGGTTAGTTCCTCTGCTTCAAGCACGCAGTGGCCCCATCACTTCCCTTACAGGCCTTGAGCCCCACCTCTGGGGGCCCAGCTCCTTGTCCACCTCTCCTTGGGGCTGCCCCAGCCCCAGCCAGTGCTCAGCTCTCTGGCTTTGATTTCTCCATTCTGCGCACAGGAAACTTCCCTTTCATTTCTTTTGAACTCAGCTACATATTAAATCTATGGTTTAATTTTATTTGGTATTCCTATGTACTTGAGGCCGGAAGGAAGACTTTCTGTGTCACCTCAGGTAGCCATATAGTTCTCAAACTTTAGAGAGCATGCAGGTTACCCCAGGTCCTTGTTAAAAACGTGAATTGTAAACTCACGCCCTCAGAGCTCCTGTTTTAAGGTCTCGGTGTGGCCCAGCATGGGGGATGGGATTGTCTCCCTGAAAACTTATCTGTTGAAGTCCTAACCGCCAGCACCTTAGAATGCGACCTCATTTGGAAATAGGGTCATTTAAATGTAACTAGTTAAGATGAGGGCAATAGGAAGTAGGGTGGGGCCGTAATCCAATATGACAGATGTCCTTATAAAAGGGGGAAAGTTGGACTCAGAGACACGCACTCAGAGAGAACACCGTGTGGAGATGAAGGCAGAGATCGAGGTGATGCGTCTACAGGCCAAGGATGCCAAAGATGCCAGCAAGCCACCAGAAGCTGGGAGAGAGGCCTGGAAAAGAGCCTTCCTCACAACCTTCAGAAGGAACCAAGCCTGCAGACACCTTGATTGCACATGTCCAGCCTCCAGAACTGAGAGTAAATTTCTGTGGTTTAAGCCATGGGGTTGTGGTATATTGTTACAGCAACTGTAGCAAACTAACACACCCAAGGCCCTGCGTTGTAATAAGATCCCCAGGTGACCGGTTAATCTCACTCATCTATACAAGTACATGTTCCAGGAGTGGTCGGGGTTGGGGTGAATCCAGGCAGCCCTGCTAGAACTTCCAAAGAAGCTCCTGCCGTGTGTGCTTCCTCCGTCCCTTCCCCTCGACATCCCCAGGAATGCTCCGTTTGACTGCCTCAGACACTAACTCCAGCTTCGGTGATGTGTTCCAGGGCACGTGGACCCAGCTAAGTGGCTTTACAGATTGCTTTGCCGAATTTTAACTACATAACGCTCACAATGGATAAGTGGCTTAACAAGATCCCTGCGAGGGAACCACAATCGAAGATAATGCTTACAATGCAAATGCAAGTGAACAACACGGAAATGTCAGGGCAGATACCTCTTGTACTCAAACTACAAGTTCTTCTCTGTGAGGTAGAGATGATGAGAATCTAGTCAGACAGAACGACGAGTCCCAGCTTCAGTTCTGTTTTCCTGCACTCGAACAAGTGCAAGACAGATCAGCAAGCTCACTGTCTAAGCACATATTCAACCAGGGCATGAGATACCAATCTTCTCTTCCCTGGGGGCCTCCCTCATGACTTGGCTTTGCTGGTAGTGACCGGAGGGAGGTGAGTGCCAGGAAGCCAATCCACTCCCCCTTAGACCGCGTCCTGTGACTCTGTTATCTACGCACGTGCACGCATGTGCATTCACACACACACTGTCATAGAGATGGGGAAGGGGCAGTTGATGTGTGGCTGGTGGTAACAAGAATATGCAGAGAACACAACATGGTGAGCAGATCCTGTTGAAGATGCAGAGAAAATATTGCTGAAGATGTAGAGAAATAAGCATTAATAAATTTCACACTGTGGAAGGTTTGCTACATAGGTGAAGAAAAGTACAGATATTTCTTGCGTGGTTTTCCTGGATTCTGTTTCGATAATGAAACACATGAAGAACCACATTTCTGTGACCCTCTGAAGGAAAGAGATGATATGGATGGAACAGTATGTTACTTCTTTAATAAAAACATCATTTATGGGAAAAATCGAGTGTAATCACGGATGGAGTGGCTGCTCCATGATGAAAAAGAATTCTGGGTAAGGGGGTGGGGTGGGGCGGGGATGGTGACACATGTGAAACTAATTTCCTGCAGGTGACTGTAGTCAAGAAGTCAAGTCCAGCACACGATATGCTGCGGGATGCATTGATGTGGTTAGCTTTTTTAAAAAAAGGTTTAAAATATAGTAAACCCTACAGAACGATTTGTAATTAGAAGGGAAGTGACTATGAAAATCTTTTGAACTGCACAGAGATTTGCTGGTTATTTCTTGGCAGAGCACTTAAAATAGCCATCAAACTTAAACAAGAATTATACGCGTTTCTTACCCAAAAAAAGACAAGCATTCCAAATTTGCTGAGCTTCTTACAATAAGTGGCTGTTGGCAGTTTGCGACCTCACAGGTAAGCACCAAAAGATGAACTCAGCTTCTTCTGGCTCTTCAAGGTGAAGGCGACTAGTTTTAACAGTGGGTGAGGAACTACTTGCTTTTCCAAAGAAACTCATGCTTTGGAGAGAATATTTTGAAAATGAGATTTTTGTTGTTGAAAATGTGGTGTTACCTATAAAAATGCTTATATCTGCATATTTGAAAATACTAGATTTTTCTAATCTGTTTGAAAATCATCCAAATGAAGAGTGTCAGTGAATTTTGAGTCCATTTGTCAAAAATATGAAAACGCAATGCTTCCCAATTAGCTTGAAAGAGCCACTGACTGACGTAAGGGAAGACGGACATCTACCAGCTTAATTTCAGCAAAGAGCCTTTGATTGGTGGGTGAGATTGAAAATGAGTACCATAATTTAATACAGCCGATGATACATCTCTTCTCTTTGGATCAGCTCAGACAGCCATTAAAAATCAACTCAACTGGAACCAGACCTCTGAACGGCTCCCTCTCAAAGGGTTAAAGCAAGATTTCAAAGAATAAACAAGCAGCGTATCCATCTGCATTGCTGCTCTTACGCTATTGTTATTAACTATAAGCAAACAATAAAATTATGAGAGGAGGAAATTTTGTTATATAAAATAAAGGAGAATTTGTCTTTTAAATGTAATCTGTAACTTCTAAATTTTTTATTTTGCTTGTTTATATCTTAACATATTACTCTTATAGTAAAGTTACAGAATTTATAAATGAATATACACAGATTATGGGTGCATGCTCCACATTTTTTTATTGCTGGGGAGGTATGATCAAAAATGCCTGGGGGTCTCTGATCTAGACTAACTCCTTCATATCATGGATGTGGAAATGCAGCCCTGGGGGGAGGAAAGTGACTGGCCCAAGGTCACTCAGCCTAGGACCCAGGTCTCCTGAACCTGCCCAGAACTCTTTCCACTATAGCGACTTGTGGCAAATAAACATTAAAGGTGGTGATGGAGACAAAGCATGGGACCATTAAAATGTGCAGACTTTGAAAGTGGAACCCTCTTAAAATACTTACTTTAATAAAAAAAAAAATTTTTTCACAGAGTGTAAAAATAGGCTGAAGTGACTTTCAGCCTATGAGAGTTCTGTGTCTGGTGGGTAATGACTGTCCCTACGAATGTGAGAAGCACCTCAGGGAGGCCCAGTGGCTCAAACGCTGCGGGAAGGAGAAGCCAAGAGGAGAAGGCGAAGGCCACAGCGGGCCCTCAGGCTTGGGAATGGTGGAGGCACTGGAGTGAGGAGCAGAGGATGCTGTTCCTGAGAAGATGGCAGGGCAGATGTCAGCTGCAGGGCTAGGCCCGGGTCACCAGAGCTGTGTCTGGGCCCTGGAGGCAAGGGGCAGCTGGTACAGTTCTCTGTGAGGCCTGGTGGGCACCCAGGACAGTGTCCTCGGCCTGTCTCTCTTCCAACAACAGCAGCTTCCCTCTCCCCCAGGTTCCCTGCCTCCTCACTTCCCAGAGGGAGATCCCGGGGCACAGACGTCCCCTATGATGACGTATCCTTAGCACATACGCAGGTCCATGCAAAGGGACAGCAGTGGTGCTACAGGGGGAGTTTCTAAGGGTCCGGGAGATGCTGCCCCTGTGCCTCTCCCTGCTCTCCACCTTGAGCTAAGTGCCAGCTCCGCTGGTGTCCTCAGTTCCAGGCCAGCCACCAGCAGACAGAAGAACAGCTGGGAAGAGGCGGAGACAGAGCAAGGCTTGTTCCTGATCACAGTCCCAGTTCACTCTCTCCCGGATTGGTGTTGCTATGACTTTAACAATCTGAAATTTGAACCAATAAATTTTGTGACCTATCCAGAGAGTCATAGCCTGCATTAAATTTTACACTCATTTGGACGTCTTCAATCCTCCAGAGGAGAAAGAAGATGACAATTGATGAAGCAATGCTTCCATTTCAAGAATAACATGTACCCTAGTGTGAAGGCGTTCTGAACAAGGGAATATAAACATGTCAGTATAGAAATTTATACAGGTAACTCAGTAGTGCAATCTCCATTGATGCATGATAAAACTAAAGAGGAAAATAAACCCCAAATGCTGGGGATTTTTGGGAAAAGAAACTACAGTTTGTTGACAAAAAAACTGCAGTCCCTGCCAGAAAACTACAAGTTTTTTTCTAAGATCTTCTCAAAGTTATTGAACAAGAGATTTGATTTGAAGATGAAAGTCAGAGGAAAAATATTTGGTCTTAGCTTAAAAATATCTCCTCACCATTTCTCCAACTAGCACACAGTCAAAAAGAGCTTTTGACAGTTGCTGGAAAAAATTCACACAAAAATACACTAGTGACTCAATAATGACATCACTGATGCACTTTGATTTTTAAGATCTCCTTTTTTAAAAAAGATCAAACGGTATTTCATTTAAAATTTCTCATTGCTAATTAAACTTCCTTCATTTTTAATGCTTGTTATTTTTGAATAATGCCTTATGTTTGGTCATTTTGTCTGCTACCAACTCTTATCAAAATGAAATGATTAAAGTTTATATTTTTAAACAGACATAAAGCATCTATCAAGGAAGGGAGTGGATGAAGGTGTCTGTGGGGAGGGGCACATGAGAGGCAGCACCTATCAGGTCTTGAGTGGCGGCCGTAGGTTACGGGAGCAGAGTCTTCCTGAGGGAAGTGCTGCCTGAGAGGCCCCTCGTATTTTGTACAAGATTGGATGAGCAGACCCTGTGTCCTGGGAGAAGAGGGTAACAAAACCTTGTGTGTTTTAGTGCCTTTGAAAACTTCCCTCATAAATATCCCATATTTATGGATTGGAAGGCTCAATATTATTAAGATATTGGTTCTTCCCAAATTGATCCATGGAGTTAACGTGATTCTAGTTAAAGTCTTCCAGCTGATGTTTCTGTGGAAATTGAAAAGCTGATTCTAAACTTTATATGGAAACGCAAAGGGGCAAGAACAGCCAACACAACCCTAAAGAAGAGGAACAAGGCTGAAGTACTCATACTGCTAGACATCAAGATCTATGCTAAAGCTTTAGTAATCAATTCAGCATGGTTTTGGTGCAAGGATAGACAAACAGACCAATGGCCATAACAGAGATTCCAGAAACAGACCCACACATATATGGCTGCCTGATTTGTGACAATGTGACATTGCAATGGAGTGGGGGAAAGGAGAGTTTTCAATAAGTGATGATGGGTTTAGTAGATATCTGTATGGAGAGGAAAGTGAATCTTGATTCCAACCTCATACCATACACAAAAACCAATTCCAGATTGACCAAGGACTTAATGTGGAGAACTGATAATAAAACTTTCAGAAGAAAGCATAGGAGGGGCCGATCTGGTGTGGTAGTGGTTAAGTTCGTGTGCTCCGCTTCAGCGGCCTGGGGTTTGCAAGTTCAGATCCCAGGTGTGGACCTAGCACTGCTCGTCAAGCCATGCTGTGGCAGCATCCCACATAAAGCAGAGGAAGATTGGCACAGATGTTAGCTCGGCGAGAATCTTCCTCAAACAAAAAGAGGAAGATTGGCATCAGATGTAACTCAGGGCCAATCTTCCTCACAAAAAAAAGAAGAAGAAGAAGAAGAAAGCTTAGGAGAACATCTTCATGACCTTGGGGCAAAGATTCTTTAACAGTATACAAAAAGCCCTAACCATGAGGGGAGGAAGTTAATAAATTGGAGTATATTAAAATTGAGGATTTATGTTGTTCAAAAGATATCTGTAAGAGAGTGAAAAGGCAAGCCACAACAATCCATAGGTACTTCAACAGGAGAATGGATAAACAAACACTGGTACAATCATATGATGAAATACTTCTCAGCAATAAAAAGAAGCAGCCTACTGACTCATGCAACAATGTGGATGATTCTTAAATGTATTTTGCAAAGTAAAAGAAGTCATATCCGAAAGTCTATATATTATATGGGATTATTTGTATGACAGCCTGGAAAATACAAAACTATGGGGATGGAAAACACACAGGTGATTGCCAGTGGTTGGAGGAGGGGTGTAGTCCAACCAGTGTAGACTGGTGTAGTCAAACAAGTGGTGGTTTGACTACAAAGGAGGCTCACAAGGAAATTTTTAGGGTGATGGAGCTGTTCCATGTGGTGGTACTATGGTTGTGGATCCACACCCCTATGTGTTTGTTTAAACCCATAGAATCATATACCACAATGAGTGGACTTTACCAGATGCAAAAAATAAATACATAAAAATTAAAATAAATTTAAAACCCAGGATGATGGTGAACCTTGGATGAAATGCAGACCATGACAAATAAAAGTAACTATGTTACAAATGTATGACAAAACCTCACTGAAAGGAATTGGGAAAATGGAACTGACCAAGTGACTCTGGCAAATGGTGTTTTGAGTGGGTACTATAAATCTAAAGACAAAAAGAACTATAAACCAGCATTGTACTCCAGATGGCAAACTTGTTTCTCACAGGGGTAGGGTTAGCAATTCTGAAACTATGTGGATATTGGGGTTGAACAAGTAGGTAAATAAATAACAGATAACAGGAGCCAAGTTTCTCATCATCACAAAAAGACGTTACAAATAAGCAAGGGGGGAGGGCTAGATGTGGTGCTGGATTGGTCAAAGAGTTTAATATGAACTCATGGGTATCTTAATATAGAGAGATGGAAAGATACAGAAATAAATTCTGGTGTGTGGTATACGTAAGTTAGAATACATACATATATTTTCCAGCTCTGTCCACTAAGTAACTTGACATAGGAGAGAGCTGGAAACACCACCTTAACTAAATGACCAAGGTTAGCATCACCAGTGAGAGGTCACGGTGATATCACGTACCCCCTGACACAACATGAAGAGAAGGGCACTTTACCTCTGTGGGACTCATTACACAAATCCATAATCCTAGTCTAATCAAGAGAACACATCTGACAGACCCAAATTGAGGGGCATTCTACAAAAAGACCTGGCCAGTGCTCTCCAAAAAGTCATGAAAGACAACACTGAGAAACTGTCAGAGATTTGAGGACACTAAGGAGACATGAAGATGAAATGCAATGTGGGATCCTGGCATGGATACTGGAACAGATAAAGGACATCAGTGGGAAACTGGTGAAATCCAAATAAAGTTTGTTATTTAGTTAGTAGTGTTGCATCAAGTTTAATTTATTATTGGATTTGATAAATGTACCATGGTTATGTAAGATATTAACATTAGGGAAATTTGGGTAGAAGGTTTACGGTACCTGCCTTAATAAATCTTAAAAGCAAGCCTTGAAAGAATTAAACTGATTTCAGGTACCAAAACTGCATCCCAAAACACAACTCAGTAGTATTTAAATAAATACAACAAAACTAAGCACCTGACAATGTAAAATTTACTGTGTTCAGCATCCAATAAAAAATTACCAGTCATATAAAAAAGTAGGAAAATGAGACCCACAACCAGAAGAAAAACCACGTAATAGAAACAGATCCAGAAATGACACAAATGATAGAATAAGTAGGCAGAAACATTAAATCAATTATTATGAATACACTACATATGTTCAAGAAGGTAGAGGAAAGCAGGATGAGGAAAACTAGAAACCCACAGATTCAAGCAGCTCAACAGATCCCAAGTGGAAGAAACTTGAAGAAAACCACACCAAGGTACAGCATAATCAAATTTCTAAAAACCA